CATGATGGCATCTTTACAGGGGTCTTCAGGGTGTGCTTATTGTAATAAGTAATTCATTCCTCATAATTTGGAAATGAGCCCATAGTCCTCTTGTGCGTTGGGGCGCTGCGCTCCTGGAAAAGCATCTTAGCTCTGAGTGACGCTGAGGCAGGGATGAGGAGACTTGAGTCTGAGTTATTGCAGATTTCCCCTCCTTTTCCTCCCTGTGCAAAATCCCTGCAGTCATGCAACAGCACCTGCGATGGGCCACAGGCACTGTTCCACCCTCGGGACGAAGTGCCTTAGTCCCTGCCCGAGCAACTCATCACTGGTGTAGTCATTAGCTTTTTCTGCATAAACTGCCTCCCAAAAATGTAATGTCATAAAACCAAAATCACTCATTTGGCGTCCATTCTTTGTGCTAGCCGTTTGGGCTGGGCTCGGCTAGACCATTCTTCAGATCTTGGCTGGGCTTACGCGGGTGAGTGCTGTCAGCCCACATGTGGCCAGGAGCTGGCTGGTTTAGGACGGCCTTAATTGGGGCAGTTCACCTTTTTTCCACATGGTCTCTCATCCTTCAGTAGGCTCTCCTGGGCTTGTTCACATGGTAGCTGGCAGGGTTGAGGGAGGGGGGGTGGAGAGAGAGATTGAGAGAGAGAGAGAAGGCTTTCACTGTATTCTGTAGGTCAAAGCCAGTGCCAAGGCCACTCTACATTAGAGATGGAAAAATAGGTCCCACTTCTTGAAGGGAGGAGCTACGTGATCACATTACAAAAGGACTTAATGTAGGGGAGAGGGGAGATTTGTGGCCATTTAAAAATCAGTCTACTACAACCAAACCGCAGAGAACAGCCTAACCACATTATCTTAACGTCAGAGATGTAAGTCCTGGCTTTGAATCTCTGGCTGGATTCAGTATGACCTGTCTCTATATTCTAGTAAATCTTAGACAACACTTTTGTCATAGTGGCTTTTGTTTTATTTTTGTTGTGGTGGTGCTTTTAAGAAAGGGTGGAACTTAAATGCAAAACCTAATGTTTACTCAGCATGGTGGGTGAGAATCTGTGCACACCAAAGCTTTGCAGTTCAACCTGACAGTCTCAAGACCATGGATTCTGTACCATATGCTCCACGAGGACAGGGACTGTTTGTCCTGTTCACCGGTGAGCCCCAGCGCCACCAGGGCCAGACACACAGTGGGCACTCGGCGAAGTCTGTTGGGTGAGGGAGTGGAGGAATGCAGTGCTTGGAATGTCGGTGGCACAGAGAACGCGGCAGTGCCCTACCAGCGAGTGTGCAGGGGGCAGCCTGCCTGAGCCCTGGGAGCCACTTTTGAATTCTGTGAGGCCTAAGAATGGCCTAGCCATCTGATGTGGCTTTTCTCTGGGGACTCTGAACAGGACATCATGGGGTAGGAGGATTTCCTGAAATGATGACTGGGATTTTTTTGAGCAAAAAACATACATGCATTTTACATTTATCAGAGATGTGTGCTCTTTATCCACTGTTTTGTGTTTTTGACTCGAGGACACGAGTCAAGTGAATGGGCTTACATTTTAGGAGCAGATCGGAAAGGATTTTAAAATTTGTTTATAACTCTGCAAATCATTCAGTAAGCAATCTGGAGTCTTATTCGTGTGAACAAAAACGTGTAATAACCTGACAAGCTCGGGGGGGGG